CTCTGGCTCAACATAGGCAACAGCTTCATCCACCTGCTTGCAGACGGTTGGGAGAGGTCTCTCATCATAAGGTACAATTTCAACCTAGCAGAAAAGATAAAATTTGTTGTTCTTGAAATGACTCAGATGTGAAGTGGTTTTATCACTAATTGGATTCACCTCAGTGCAATTTTCTCACATCAAAGCAGCATCACACCCAAGATAACCATGAGTTAACCATATTATTTGGAAGGCTGGACATCAGATTGTTTGCCCTGACAGGTTTCTGTAGTAACAGAGGGAACACTACTCACATTTTCCTTGGAAAACACTTCCTTGGAGCTTGTGGGCTGAGTCTGAGGAGAAAGAGGGGACTGGTAGGGAACAACAGGCTCAGAAGAAGTGGGATCCACCAACTGCTCTTCCAGCACAGCCTCTGCCCTCAGGGGCTCTGCTTGGGGAGGATCTGCAGGCTCAGGAGGGGAGTTCTGGGAGCTCTCAGTGCCACTCACAGATCCCAAGGGCAACTCAGTTTTTCGGATCTGAGAAAGGGAAGAAGATTTTTACAGCAAGGCTAAAAATGTGCTAAAATCTCTCAGTACAGCTACAACTCTGTCAACGGGCTTCTGGTGATTTCAAGTAAAGATTGAACCTGGCTCACAGGTGTGTCATCATTCCCACTGAAAGCAGCTTTATGAAAAAGTCAGAAAATAATTTTGTGTGGGTGCATGTGTGGAGAGATTATAAAACTTCCTGTTCTGAGCACATTACATAACTCTATGGATATAAAAAAATCACATGGATTCTGTATGGTTAGCCTTGATACCATCCTAAGCCCCCTCTACCCCTCCAAAATAGGAGACAGCACCTTATTCATCTGCATCAGCTAGTCTTGAAATTATACAAAACATTCAGGATTTTAATGCTATTTTCTTGAGACCTCAACAGTTTAATGGGATTTATGGAAAACTAAGCATGCTCATAAAACACCACACTGAGAGTCTCAGGTTGAAGAAATCCACAATCCAAAGAGAAAACTGAAATGCTTTAGTAAATCTCAAAATTTCCCTTAACCTGTGAATGAAGTTTGGCTGCTGTGCCATTTCTATTTACAACACCCTCCTGAGTTTGGACTAACAGCACCCACCAGCAGCTGTGCATCCAGGAGGTCGTGCAGCTCCAGCTGCTGGTACACCTTCAGCCTGTACTCATCCATCTGCTCCTTCTTCTTCTTGGCAAGGTCATAATCCTCCTTCTCCACGGCGTAACGCTTCTCCACCTCGTAGCGGCCGAGTCGCTCGCCCACCTAGGATTGGTACAAATCACCTTGGAATCATCTCACTAAGCATTTCTTGGAAATGTAATTAACATTCCATTTCTTGGAATCACATTACTCTACTTTTTTCATTGCTCCCAGGCAAATTACTCAATCAAGCTATGTGATTTTAAAATTAATCATTTGGGAAATATATTGAAAATCATTACGGTTCCACACAAACAAAATCATTATGATTCCTGATGGGCCACTGGAGCTCTGCTCCACTTAGGTGTCAAAGTTCTTCCAACAGCACCTTCTGCAAGTCTGCAATGGCCTGTTTGAGCTTCTTGGCGTGGTCATAGCACTCGAAACGCACAGCTTCCCTCTTCTTCTCATCCAGCCTCCGGATTATCTGAGCCACTTCTGGGTCCTGGTACATGTCAAAGGCCAAATCATCCAGAGGTGAAATGGAGTCATGTTTCCTGAAGGCACAAAATGAATAAAGTAAACCACAATAAGGTAGGTTTCTCTTTTCATTAGCAGGGAATTAACAAAACACAGAGATCAACAACTGCTTTACACCAAGCAGAGGTTTTGCCAGGGTATAGGCAAAGAACAAACTTACCCAAGGTAAGTTCCATTTAAAGCAGGGTCATCTGATTTAATTCCCATGTAGTGATCTATCAGCTGCTCTCTGGTAGGCTTTGGAAGGGTGGAAAAAGAAAATCTCAATGCACATTCACCAACATCAGGTTCAAGACAGAATTCTGACTTGCCACAACCAACATCAGTTTTGTAACATAAAGCACTTATGTTTTGGGGCACACTGAAGCAAAAGAATCTGGAGACAATAAAAATGAAAATGTTCCAACATTTTAATGTTTGTATTCCCATATTAGGTTCAAATTTCTTGCTTCAAGAGAACATTAACAATAAATTAATGCAACACAGCTCTGCTGAAGAGCTGGCACAAGAAAGGTTCATCCCATTACTCCAGGAACGTGTACTTGAAGAAATGGAGCATCAGTAAAAGGACAGGGATGCTTTGGACTTACAATGCTCATGTCAATGCCATAGTCTGCTGGATCCCCAATGATGTTCACAGCTACCAGGGCAACCTGCAGAAATTCACAGAAAATGGAAATGTGTAAGCACATTCCTCTTTTCTTGGAACAAAAACCAGGGCCTGTGGTCAGGAGGGTGATATGGAAGCAGAGAAGCACTGAGTGCTAAATGTGCCTCCTGCTCTGTTGAAAATGTATCACCAAATCTACAACCCCATGGTCTGAAAGGAGTCCCAGCAGAACTGAGCAGGTGTTTGTGTGTGTGCACCATGGTGGCTGTGCAACACCTTCACTTAATTCCACAACAGGCCCAAAACACTCAGAGTGGCTTTGTGACCCCCAAGCTGCTCTCAGAGGGAGTTCCTTGTGCTCAGCACGGACCCTGCTGGGTGGGCTAAACCTCAGCACAAACAGAGTGACAGAATGTGCCCTTGACTCGTTTGTTCTGGATGAGGTGCATCCATCTGATCCCAACTCACTCCTAACCTTGTGTTTTGTGCTTTAAAACAAACTAAAATAAATACAGGAGCTTTCAAAGAACATTTTTTTGCTTCCATAAATCAAGGGAGCAGATTTCTCTGCCCGCTCTTTACTATGGAAGTGTCTCCTGGGTTACCAGGTAAGGACTTCTAACTCACCTGCCCATACAAGTTATATTTATTGACATAATTTTTATGAAAAATCAGCTTCAGGTACTGGCCAACTGCATCCATGTACACAGATTTCAACTCTCGAGCTCTGAAATCAGTCTTCTCATTGTCTGAGAGAGGGACATAACTGGGAAGGAAAACATAACACATGAGCAGAGGATACATCCAAACACACAGGTGGGGTTTAAAATCCCCTCCTAACTGAAACAACTGTGAAACCTCCCTCATAACCTCACAACTGAAATAACTGTGTGCTGTCACCTGGCAAGGCAATTCACCTGCATCTCCAGCTTTGTCACAGATCCACACAAGTCCAGGATCTCCCAGCTGCTCACACAGCATCACCCACAACCCACACTGAGAATTATTCTCCCCTGAAGCTTTTCTGATTAAGACATTAAACTGATCCAGAACTTTCTGTCTCACCCAAGTCTCTGAAACCTCTCTGACTGATAGGGAACAAAGTATTCAGGCAGACTTTCACTGATGTAGAACTCAATTTTGCTCGCAATCATGTACTGGTGAGCGAGCAGCTGCAGCTTCCGGATCCGACACCGCTCCACCAGCTGCAGGGTGATCTCCTGGGGGTACTGACAAAGCCTGAAAGAGACACAGTTCCTCAATTCAATCATCATTTCAAAGCAGATTTCACTTCCAACTTGAGCAACGTTTAATTATGCAACTTTCAAGTTGTTAATTGTAAGCTAATATTATAAATATTGTAAGAATCCCAAGAGTAAAGTGGAAACACTTTTCCCTTCCCTTTACTGCGTGCATATCTTCAGGTGCCCCACACATGTTAAGATGCCAAATGGATTTTTCATACTAAGACAAACTCCAAGACTGCCAAGAACAAAAACATTTTCATTTTCCAGGACTTTATTTAAATACAATGCAGTGCCTTTAGGTGTTAACCAAACTGCTTTTTTCCCCCACGATGAGGGTGCCATGGGATTATAGAAACTTTTTTTGCTTTATCAGCTTGGTTTGGGATACTGTAAACTGCTCTGTCCATCTGCCACTTGTTTTAAACTTGGTGCTTCTACAATTGAGTGCTCCAAGGCCATCCGCTCACAGTACCTGGGCGAGCGCCACCCGTTCACGGTCGGTGCATGAACCATCAGCTCCCGAGCACTGAACCCATCCTCGTGTCCCGACGAGCTGATCACCGTGAAACCGATCTTGTGTGGCATCCTGGGCAGATGAGCTGGTCACAGACACGGCCTTCAAGCTTAGATTCATCCCTGGAAGGGTGACAAAAACCTACTGAGGCACTACGGTCAAAGAACTGAGGTCAGTCGAGTCAGTAGACGATGATTAACATTGGTACCATAAATGTTCTTTAGGCGCGGGTCAGTCAATATAGACCAAAAGATAAAAGATCAGTCAATATAACTGATCTTTTAACCTTTTGTTGAGCAAAATGAGGATTTCGATCACTTGCAGAGCAATCTACCAATAAAATAAACCTGTTAACCCAAGATGGACCTTGAAACTAAGAGTTCCAAATGCATCCAGGAGCAACCTGTACCAAACCTGTAGCTGCACCATGCTCTGGGTGTTGGAGCCAGACGAACAAAAAGCAAAGCACAAGGTCAATTTTGTCTTTTTGGGAAAGCCACACACCCACTGCCGGGGACACAAGCACCGGGAGCATCGCTGCCCGCACCGGCACCGGCCCCGTCCCTTCCTCCCCCCTCCAGCCCCAACCCCGCAGGCGGCGCAGGCCCGGAGGGGTCACGGCCGCACCGCTCCGGGAGCACAGCCAGGCCGGGCGGCGGACAAAGCACGGGGGAACCTGGCGGGACCGGGGAGGGATCCCCGGGGCGGAGGGAGAGCGGGGAGCAGGGGAAGCACCGGGCCGGGCCCCACCTGGCTCAGCGCGGCGCCATCGCCGCTCTCATGGCAACGCGGCCCCGCCGCGCAGGCGCGACCGCCCCGCCGGCCCCGGGGCGCCTGCGCGGGGCGGCACCGGCCCCGGACACCGATACCGGCCCCGGGCGGGGAGCGGCACCGGCCCGGTCCGGCCATGGCGGAGCCGCTGCGGCCCTTCCGGCTGCGCGGGTGCGGCAGCCCGCAGAAGTTCGGGGTGGCGGCCGGGAGCCTGCGCGGGTTGCTGAGGAAGGGCTGCCGCCTGCTGCAGGTGCGGGGCGGACCGGACCGGGCTGCGGACCGTGCAGGACGGGACAGGACGATACGATACCGGACTGGGGTGCTGCTTACATATGCTGGACGGGACCGGGAGTAGCGGGTGCCGCAGCTCCGGGCTAGGGCTAGAGCTGCCCGCCGAGACGCGTGCGGAGCTGCAGCTGCTGTGGTCGGGGCCGCCCGGAGCTGAAGTCCCGCCCGGAGCAGGGGTCCCGCCCGGAGCAGGTATCGGGTCTCACCCGCCCGTGGGGCAGCTTCCCTTGGCAGGCAGCCGCCTCTGCCTCTACGAGGACGGCACGGAGCTGACCGAGAGCTACTTCCGAGCGCTGCCGGCGCAGACGGAGCTGGTGCTGCTGGGCCCCGGGCAGAGCTGGCGGGGCTGTGAGTGCGGCGGGGCCGGGCGGGGGGCGCGGGGGCAGCGGCGGCCGCGGGGGCTCAGCCGGTGCCGCCTCACCTGCCCCAGGTGCCAGCGACATCGAGCGGCTCCTGGCCGCCTTCTGCAGCCAGCAGGGCGCTGTGGTGGAGGCTGCGCGGAGGCTGCTGACGGACGAGCGGGCTCCCCACAGGCAGAAGCTGCTGGCGGATCTCATCCACAACCTGAGCGAAAACATCCTGGCCGAGGACAAGGAAGAGGACAAGAAATGGTTTGAAGGTGTGTTTGTTGCTGTAGGAAACTGCTACGGGATTCCCGGGTTTTGCTCTGCTCTGAAAAGTCACTTCTGTCAGTTGTGTTCCTCTTAAAGTAAAGTTTGGGAGCTCTTCTGGCTGGTGCGATTGGGTGCTCGATCAGGGTTTTAGTTATCCCTTCCGTTAGCACCATTTAACTTTAGATATTAAATGTGCATGTTCTTTAAAGTACATGGACATTTAGTATCTAAAATTAAATGTGTTAGTAGATTAGTATCAAAGCTAAAATGTTTTTTTTTTTTTAATGGTTCCCTATTGGTTTAATAAAGAGAGCTCTGGAATGCATTTCCCTCATTAATATACATCTGCATTGATGATGTTTTAATGATTTGCTAATAGTATATGGATAACTGGGACATCTCTGCCAGCTTTATGTTCTCTTTACAAACTGCAAGTTTCTCTTCCTATTCCCAAGCTATTACTGCAGTTCTTCCCCAACAATTGTTTTCCTTTCACAATTTCTTGGTGTTTCACATATACAGAGTAACAAGAAACATAACAATACCATCTCCTGCTCTCTCAGCAGATGCTCTACAGCATCCTTTTAAATGCTTAAGATCACGGTAGTCCTGAACCAGTAAAATAAAATTGGGACATTAAAAAACCTGTGCAGCCTGAGTTAACAGAAAGCCAGTATGAACTCCCAGCTGGGCAGGAGCTGGGCTGAGGTACAAAACAATCTCATTCCCTCCAGGGCTGGAGTCTCGGTTCAAGAACAAATCCAGCTACCTGCGGCATAGCTGTGAGAGCAGAATGCGGGGCTACATGAGAGAGGTAAAAGTTTCTGTTAAGTAACTTATGTCAAGCTGTAACAGTAATTCTGTGGCTGCAGGAATATAAAGCATTTCTACAGTTGTGATTGTAGAAAAGAGCCTCAGGCTGCCACAGGAACCGAGGAGTGATTGCTGGGTTTGCCCCCTCTAGGTTACTGGTTTTATTTCAAACGTTCATCCTGCAGCACGAGATGCCTACAGAGGGATAATCGACCTGATGGCAGAAAAACTGAAATCTGTGAAGTACAACGGGTGCTACTTTGACAGAAGGGAGAAGGAGGAGGCAGCACGCCTGTGCACTGCAGAGGGGTGGTTCTCCTGTCAGGTACCTGCAGCCTTCCTGAAGAACCGTAAATGATTTGGGTGGGAAGGGACCTTAAAGATCATTTCATTCCATCCGTGCCATGGACAGGGGCACATTCCACTGGCCCAGTTTGCTCCCAGCCCCATCCAACCCAGCCTTGGACACTTCCAGGGATGGGGCAGCCACAGCTCCTCTGGGCACCCTGTGCCAAGGCCTCCCCATCCTCACAGGGAAGAATTTCTTCTGTATATCTGACTTAAACTCCCCCTTTTATCAGTTTGATCCCATTACCCCTTCAACATGAGAGGAAGGAAACAGCTTCCTGGGTGCAGTGCCAGGCTGGGGGGGATGTGGGTGCCAGGACCACTTTGGGGTGACAACTGTGACACTTTTCACAGGGACCTTTTGACAGAGATGACTGCCCATGTAAGCATTCCATCAACCCCTACAGCAACAGGGAAAGCAGGATCCTCTTCAGCACCTGGAATCTCGACCACATGTATGTACAAAGTGTTAATCCAGACCTACCTGCTTTGTGGCCTTCAGCTTCACCAGAAAGGTTCAGCCTTAGTCCCTTCCCCCCGCTGTGCAGTCAGCTCTGCTGTGAATATGTGGTGAGGAAAGGTGCTGGGATGCTGCAGCTGCTGTGAGAACAAAACCCTGAAGACAGATGAAATGCTGCCTCTCATTAGCTGCTTTGCTTCTGTGCAGATTTTCTGTGTGTGGAAGCAAACCCCTCCTCACTGCACTATCCCTGTGAATTCTCCTCTCCAGCAAAATCCCCTCTGAACCATTTCAAATGTTGGTGTGAAGCAAACAAGATTTGCTAAACTAATTTCCTTGGGGGGAAAAAAATCATATGCCTAGTAATGGAGAAAGAATTGCAGTTCTGCCTGGCTCTGAAAGGAAGATGGAGGCTTGATTATTTTGAGAAAACTCCTGATGGCAATATTGTCTTGTCTTTTGTGTCCCCAAGAATTGAGAAGAAACGTGCTGTTGTCCCAGAACTGGCAGAAGCTGTCAAAACACGAGATGGGAGAGAAGTGAACTGGGAATACTTCTATCAGCTGCTGTTTACCCTGGATAATTTAAAACTCGTACATATTGCTTGCCATAAGAAAACCAATCATAACCTCAGCTGTGACAAAAGCAGAATTTACAGAAAGAGGAAGCAAACCCAGGAGATTTCCTAGTGCTGTCTCTGGAAGGGACCTGCTGCTTTTTTCAATCATGTCAGTCTGTTGTTTTTAAATAGCTCCAATTTCTTAAATAAGAACTATTTGGCACAAGACTGGCTGGGTAACCCAACCAGAGCCTCACAAAGCACACTCCAATATCCCATTTAATTTTCTTCTCCTGCCTTTCCATTCCTTACAAGCCTCCCTCAAATCAAGCTCAAATCAAGTGTGATAAAGGTAGAAAATGAGCCAGAGGCTGACTCTGACTCTACCCTGTCATCTCTGGCCAGCATTGACCCAAAACTCACAGTACACAGAAATGAAACTTGGACAAAACATTTTTTACAAACTAACCTGCAGGGGCTCATAGACTCCTATTCCTCTGGATTTTAAGCCAAACACAGAAGGATTTAGAATGATGTTTTATCTGTGCTTTTTGCAGGTAGTTTCAGCAATGCCAAAGGTGGTTCAGCAGCAGAGCTGCCACCTCACCTGTGCCAAACTCCTTCCCTCATCCCCATCTGCCCCTTTGCCATTGCTTCAGATGTGCATCTCCTAGAAAGAAGAGCAAGCCCATGAGATTTTTTTGCTTTTTCCACCTTTGTTTGCCATCTTCCCTGCTGATTTCCCTCTCCTTACTAACACTTTCTGCCTCCAGCTTGAGTTTTACTTGATGCACTGCCAGAAAGGGCAGCTACAACGATCATGTTTACAGTAATGTTTACCCACTGCCTTGGAGAATATTGCTTTGGTAAAACATTTCCTACCTCAGGCAACAAATCAGGAATAGTTCAATTTTTTTACTTGAATTTTTTTTTTTTTTAATAGCAGCTGAACTTTTGGGATTGTCAATGTAAATCGTGTGAACATTTTAAATAAAAAAATGCCCCCACATCTGTGTGTGTGAGTGAAGGTGCAGGAGACATTAATCAGGTGTGATAGAGCATGAAGGGAAATGTGTTTATGAATTGAGCACCAGCTACTAGAAAAAGCTCTGTTTTCCCTCATAGTGTTGGTCCTGGACCAGTTAGTCCACGTGAAATTGTGTGGAAATTATATTTCTGCCTGAGCCCCAAATTACTGGGTTTTGGAAGTTTTGCTACATAGAATATTGATTTAAACAACAAACTCAGTCCCCTCCCAAACAGTGCAATCTGAAAAGCAAGGAGGTGCATTTTTAACACAGGATTTCTAATTCCACTGCATGCAATCAATCCTTCCAGCTTCCCCTCCTGCACTGTTTGACACTGGGGAGGGCACTGGGCAGGATCCTGGTGACAAACCCAGTGTCACCTGTGTGGCACGTGTCCCCCAAACTGAAAATGCATTTTGCAAGTGAAATGAATGTCTGTGTGTGAAACTGTGTTTGCTAGAAAGAGCCAGCAGCAAACACAGCACTGAAGGAATGCTGGGAGGAGCTGCTGCAACACAGAGCTGGGCTGGAACTATGAATATGCAATTAAAAAATCTGGATTTTTCCGTGTTACAGAATTAGAGTGAAAAGGAGCCAAGAAATATCTTTGACAGAAACAATGCATCAGCTGGAGTGGAAATGGAAATGCATTACCATGCCATGCATATGCAATTTGTTTGCCTTACAACTTTTGAATGTTTAACAAGCTCTAGCTGTAGAAATTAATATTTATTTAAACCATCTGCTGATAACATTTTCTCTCTATTTTTAGAAACATAGAAGGAGCTATAACAATAAATATCTAGAAGCTTATTGCATAATCACACTTTCAAAGAAATATTCCCACAAACACTGGGTGAATTAACAGTTCCTGGAATTGGCTGAGGTTGCTCCTTTTGTTTTTTTTTTAAACATGCAGAAGGGGCTCAGCAATCTTCCCCTGTCCATCAAATCCAAGGGAAGGTATTTGTTGTGTATCACCACCAAAGCATTTGTTTCCAAAATCCCTGCTGGAAATCAACAGAGGACAACACTTACAGCAGCAGGTGGAGGGAGGAGGCAGCACCACAGGGTGGGTGTTTGGGGAGCTGACGTGCAATGAAAACGTGCTGAACTCGCAGAGATGAGCACACTGAATCCACTCTGACAGCCTGCATTTCATTCTGCCAGCAGAACTGCATTTTAGAGGTTTAATTGGTGCTGGGTTAGGTGTAAACAACCCACACAAGGAAGACCTTTGACCTTCTTTGTACCAGGGAGTCAGCTGGCTCCTTTATTACCTGGATGGCACAGACCTTGCAGAATTAAAAGATGCTCCAGCATCCTTTTCTTGACTGTTTTTCAGAAAAGGAGTGAAACCAAATACTTTCTCAAGATAGAGGCTCAAATTTACAAAAAACACCATAAGAACTTCTATATTCCCTGGGTTTTTTTCTGAAATATCAGTGGTAAAGTGCTCGATTATACTTTATTTCCAAACCACTGAAAATTCAGTATTTGCCCCAGATAATCACTGCAATACTGTATCTGCCAATTCCAGCAAAACAAACTCCCAATTCTCTCCCTGAGAAAAGGCAAACAGACACCTCATGTTACTGACACAGCCATTGCCATGTGGTCACAGAAAAAGAAGAAGGGTTTGTTTACAGTCTGTTGTTAGACATCTTCCTCTTCCTCCTCCTCTTCATCATCTTCCTTTGCAATGAAATGGAGCTTCCTGGCTTCTCGCCTGCTCCTCGTCACACTCGGGAGCACAACTGCTGGGAGGTGCTGGAGAGAAAAGATCAAATCAGCAAGGACAAAGTCTGTGGAGGGAGAACTCCTACCTCCAGCTCCCATGCTCCCTCAGCTGACACAGGAACCAACCCTCAGCTTGGGAGCAGTGGCACAAAGCTAAAGCTGTGGGGCTTTGAGGGGAATGTGCCCAAACCAGACCCTTGGGCACTCACAGGGCTGAGATTCCTTTCACTGGTGTGAGGATTGGCAGAGGGTGAAGGGCTCCCTAAACAAATCCTCACTGCTCCCTAAATATCACAAGGAACACCTAAAAGGTGGAAGCATCACTTGCCCCAAAGTTATGCTTGTTAAAGGGATTCAAATGTAAAGCTCTGGTCCTTGGGTCAGTTTAAAAGCTGAGATAGGCAGAAACCAGTTTCCATTCCACACAATCCCAGTGCAGCAGGGCTGGAACTGGGTGATTTCTAAGATCCCTCCAACCCAAGCTGATAGGCAGAAACCAGTTTCCATTCCACACAATCCCAATGCAGCAGGGCTGGAACTGGGTGATTTCTAAGATCCCTCCAACCCAAGCTGTTCTATGATTCTGTCAAGAACCAAAGGCCAGCAAAAACCTATTTTGCCAACAATATTGTGTCTCCATAATGTTGTTAGCAGTAAAAATACCTATCTCATGGAATTGGACTAAAAAATCTAAATAAGAAAGATTTTACACCTGAAATTAATTCAGCTTGGCAAGTAATTTCATCTCTGATGGAGACAGTTTTATCTGGGGGACAAGGCGCAACAATACTGGCCAAATTCACCAGTTTTGAGGTAAATTTTAAGCAGACCAGGGTTGGGTCTAAAGCAGGAACAGACTCATCATCTCACCAGCTCAACATCTCCAAAGAACCGGTGCACTGGCATGGGCTGGTTGCTGTCCTCATCCGAGAGGCCACTGCTGTGCTCCAGGAACATTGGCCCCCGTGGGCAATCCATGTCCTCCGAGGTGGCCCCATCAAAGCTCCCACAGCTGCTCTCCTCCTCACTGAACACGTGATAGTGGTGCAGATATCCACTCGTTTTTAATGGAGCACCGCTGGATTTCACCGTGTGTGGCTCCTGCTCCTTCTCCTGCTTCCCTTCATCAGTCTCTGGAATGCTTTCATCTTTTTTCTGTTGGATTACGCTGCTGTCTCTTGGATCTTCTGAACCTCCATCCTCATCAGATGTTTTAGGTGTTTCCCCCAGCGCAGCAAGGTTTCCACTTTCACATGTGAGTCCCTCTAGCTCTGATTTTAGATTGCTTTCTTCGTATTTCATCCTCTTTGCAGGTCGTCCTTCAGCAGCTTCATGTGATGAACACTTAGAAAAAAAGGCAAGATCGTAAAGCTCACTTGAAATAAAGAATAAAATCACCTCCTCTCTTTACTTGCAAAGGAACAGAAGGGCTCCATCACACAAGTGGCATTTTGATCCAAGCCTTCTAAGAAAAGTAATTAGTATAAAGTACATGTAAAGAGAGGAAAAGAGGAGCAGACAGCTTACATAAACCACAATATACAGTCCATCACCAGCAAGAGAAAAACACTTGTCTCAGAGAATAAACTAGCACCGTAAGAGGTCAATCACCATGTTCTTATTTTCTTAAGGATGATGCTAATGGGAATTACTGTGCCAGGCCTGTCATCACCCAGCACGGCAATCGGCTAAATCTGCTCTGTATTTCTGCACAGGCACAAACAACGTCGTGGGAGGAGCGGGAAGGGCGATAAATTTACTTCAATTCTCCTGATAATTCCCACATGATGATGCTCAGATTGTAGCTGTTAATAATCACCTGAGATCCCCTCACTGCGACCGCCCGGTCCCGCGGCCTTTGCCTCCCATACCATCCCACCTGGCCCCGTGCCTCCTACCGGGCTCGCCGTGTCGGCTGCTTCCCCCGCGGGCTGTGCGGGTTCGGCTGCCGGGGCCGTCTCCGCGGAGCGCCGGGCCCGGTGCCGGGGCCGTGGCGGGGCCGGGCGAGCGGTGCCGCGGGTGTCCGAGCGCCTCCGGCCCCGCGCTGTGCCGCCCGCCGCCATCTTGGTCCGTACGCGGGCCCGCGCTCGCCATCTTGTGGAGCTCCGTTCGGGAACCCCGGGGCGAGCGCGGGCACGGGGCGCCCGAGCAAGGGGCTCTGGGCACCGACAAACGGCTTTGGGCAAAGGGCAGCCTCATCCCACTAAGCGAAGGCGGGGAGCCCAGGATCCTCACACGCCGGAGCCCCCCACACATCGGAGCCCCCCACACATCGGAGCCCCCCACACGCCGCAGCCCTTCACACATAGCAGCCCCTCTCACAAGGGAGCCCCTCACACGCCGGAGCCCCTCACATGTCATAGCCCCTAGCTTGGACCACCGACAGCATCACCTTAAAAGTGAGCACAAAGCAGCTCCTCACGGGTCACACAATGGGGTGGGTTGGAAGCGACCTTGAAGATCATCCAGTCCCACTCCCTGCCATGGCAGGGACACCTTCCACTATCCCAGGTTGCCCCAAGCCCCATCCAGCCTGGCCTTGAGCACTTCCAGGGATGGGGCAGCCACATCTCTGGGCACCCTGTGCCAGGGGCTTCCCACCCTCACAGCCAAGAATTTCTTCCCAATATCCAATCTAAACCTATTCTCTATCAGTTTAAACCCATTCCTCCTTGTCCTGTCACTACAAGGTTTAGTATATAGTCTTGTCTCCTCTTTCCCATAGGTTCCCATTAAGTATTGGAAGGCTGCAATTACAGTTTCTGAAGGACCTCCCTCCCAGCTGCTTGGGGAAAAACCCAGCCCCATCCTGCCTCGGAGCTATGTAGCTTATAAACATTTGAAATCGTTTGCTTCCCATTGTGTCTCACTCTGGAGCAGCGCTCGCTCCCATTCAAGACGTGGTCAAAGAGTTATTATTCAGATGTTCTTCTCTCTGCTTTCCACAGCCCTCAGGGAACAAATTATGTCAGTAACTCAAATCCCTCTTTAACTTCAAGGACTCTGAGGGTAGCAGATGAATTTCTGTGTAGTAAAGCACCCAGATTTAAGTAGGTAATTATCCTGTCTGATGTTCCCAGGGAGGTGCTGCGCGGAGCGATGGCAGGTACCGGTGCCCTGACGGCCACATCCCCACGATGGGGCCTGTGGGCTCCATCCATCACATTAAACACACCTCCTTCTCCAGTTAATTCAGTGCTTTGGGGATGCTGTGGGGATTTTTATAATTCTGTCCATCTGAGGGCACAGGAGCTTGTTTCTTTATAGCAGCCTTTAATGTTCTTGCTCATTGCAGAGTTGTCCCACGAGTCTCAGTGGTACCTGTGCTCCTCCATCCAACTTGGCTGATTAAATGCTTGTCCGTTCAGCCTGGCCTTAAAAAACAGAAGCAACAATTTAAATCGCAGAAATAAGTGGCAAGACTGTACCTATGGGGATATTCGAGAAATACATTTTTTCTCAAAAGCATAAAATCCCCCAGTTAAACCATGCAGGTTTGGAGACTCGCACGCACGTTGTTGTGCAATTTCCCTCGGTGTTCAGGGTCCATCTATGCTTTGTTCTCCGGGTGAGATAATTCATATTCTTCTCCAAAACCTCCTTGACTTGCTCCACTCTCTCACAGTGTTGTTGCTTGCAGCCATGGAATACAGATGATTGTTTTTATTAGGCAGTGAAAACTTATACTGTCTTGTAAACAGCCGCAGACTAAAGCTGGCTGAAAAGCAGCATTTCTGCAGCTGGAAAACGTGGTTCTTGTTTTAATTTCCACAACAAACTGAAAATAGTAAGGAAAATTTAATTCTAATAAATATGTTTCACAACACTGTATGTTTCTGGGGTTTTATGCTGCTTTGGAAAGCTGATGTGACTGAGCACTGAGAAGGGGGTGGCAAAGCCCTGAGCATTCCCATGGCCTTTGGTAACCTGGTGTGGGGTGAGGTACAACTACAAGCACATGAGGCTCTGTGAGGTGACCTTGGAGACAGAGTGCAAGGGACACAGCACCTTAGATGGAGCTGGGATGGCAGGGCTCTGTCCAGAGCTCTCATGTCACACTCTCCCTATTCCCTCCTTTAACCACGTTATTTTGGGGGCAGGTAGTGACAATTTCACAGCTTCAGATGTTGCTGCATATTCTGAAATACTGTTGAGATAAAAACTGTCACATAGCACAGGAAGCACCCAGGAGAGACTGTGGATCCCTGTGAGATCCATCCCCATCTCAGCAGCAGTGACTCCCAAGTGACTTGAAAGGCAACAGAGGGACTGCCAACAGCCCACAGCCCTCTGAGAGAATCAGAGCAGCACGAGCTATTTACATTAAACCCACATTTCCACATAAAAGGGGTCTTATTCTCCGTATTAAAAAATGGGTTATGTTAGAATCTGTTGTCTAAGTAGGGAGGGAAGAAAAAATAAAAAGAGGGTTTAGTGAGCTCCATCATTCCTGTGAAAACTGGCGGCTCTGCAGCAGCAGCTGATGAGCTTATGGAGCAGGAAGGGAGAGCCGGGCTGTGAAACTTGATGTGCAAATGAGCTTCTTGCAGCACTTGTCTCTGCGCCTGTCACTTGCACCAGTGTCCCTGTCTGTTATAATCCTC